TGGCTAACTCACAGATCGAACCCTGAAACAACCTCTGAGAGGAGAGTATACTACCACTACACCACCCTTGATTCCCACACTCTTCCTGATGCTTGCTATCCGGGGTTATCGTAAACTAAGTTACTTTGTATAAACTACACTATATTAATCCAAACTCCGACGGTCTTTAGGTAAATCTTTAAAGCACGTTGAAAGCGGATTCTGTGTTCATCCTAACGGCGGCTTGGCTCAAGATGGAACCTCTCTGGTATTATGGAAAGGATGCAAAGGCAAAAACATCGCAATCACGTTTGTAAAACCAGGTATTCTTACAACACAAGGGCACTATTTTTAAATGCCCTGCATTTAGCTGTTTTTGATATTCTGCGAGCTCCCTATTTGCAAGCCGCACGCTGAAATTATTTTTTGCTGCAGTCAATGAAAAGTAATCAATCGGTACCTTTTATGTTCTTGACTGGCGGCAGTGAAAAACTAATTTCACAACAAGCCGTTAGAATATCTGATTTCACAGAATATCGAAACCTCAGTTAAGAGCGAGGATAATAGACTTCTTGCCTCTTACCTTGGGCGTAATGTTCTCCCATTTCAGACCACGTGTCATTCCCTTGAGAATAAGATTCTTTGTTTGAGTTGTATCCATATTCATATGTCTTCTCGTGTGCAAAAGTTAAACAAAGAAATGATACTCTAGGGAATGACACGTGGTCTCAAATGGGGGAAAATTACGCCCAAGGTRAAGAGATCTATTGATGCTTCAAGTATATCATGCCAGAACCACAAGCCCTGGTAACTGGTTTCTGCCTAGCTCTCGACCACGTATTTGCTCATCACAAAAAAATAATCTTGAACAAACTATATAGTAGAGACCTTTAGCAAGACGTTCTTGCTAGGTGTCGCAACCTAACAGCAATTCGACGTCAGGCGTTTTCCTTCAAACTTTCGACATTTATCAAGGCGTCATAACGACGTTGTCGTTTGAAGAGCCGCCATATTWAATTCCATTGATGCTGGGTCTGATCCCTAGCTGTTAGCGGTAAACCTGATACTAAGGATCTATAGTAGCTCTAGAATGTGTAGCTTATCCATGTTCAAACTTTAATCCCAAGATTGCGAGATAGCGCTTGGAATGGAAAGCGGACGCATACGAAATGACCAAATTAAAGCGACTACTTTCCGAAGAAACAAAGAGCCCGTCAATGCCCGATTGAATGGATTCAATGCGTGGTGCGCAGGGCAATCAGATAAAAGACAATATTTACAGATCGACCTTGGAAAGGTAATAACACATTAGTAACATTTAAAAGTATTCTAGCTGGGAGTTAAGGGGCGTGGAGTAGAGGTAGTGTAATGGGAAAACCTCATAATTCGATCTATGATTTAGCAGTGCCCTGACTTAGATCAGCCCAGAGGTTGTTTCAGGGTTTGATCTGTGAGTTAGCCATGCCCTGACTTAGATCAGCCCAGAGGTTGTTTCAGTATATCGATAATAATTGAAGGCTGTTTTTTCCTATTTAATGCTGCTATTTAAATACTTTTAGGTGAAGGTCATTAGTGCTATTGCTACTGAGGGCATGTATGACGGTACTCGCGTGACCGGATATAAGTTATACTACAGTAAAAATGGCCGGCAGTGGACGGCCTACGCCGGAAGAAGAAAATTCCAGTCGAAGAACGTAAGGAAACATTTTTACTTTAATCTAAAGCATTTATCAAAAAACCATAACAAAATTCGTTTTAACATGTTTTGTTCAATTTTCAGTCGTATTGCTTCCGAGGGAAGTGTTCTGCGACACTCAATAGTCAGTGTAGAGATCTCTGGAATCCAAGTGAGTTCATTTCCAGACGGTTTTTAACATGATACGAAGGGATAATCATTTTCATTATATTTTCTCAGCTTCATTTTCAGCCTCTAAAGCTTGTYATGACAAATTAAACACCGAGAACACAAGATACGGCACTTGTCATCCTGCGAGAATCCAACCTTGCCTGCCACAGTAAGAAGCATTAAACATACACTATTTCAAAAACGGTTGATGAAGATTTTGTTTCATGTCGCATGTCGCGTAAGGCATGTCGCATGTCGCATGTCGCGTTTCGCGTATCGCATGTCGCGTGTCGCGTA